AGATCCCTCAAGTTCGAGGGACAGCTGTGGTCTCCTGAGGTGCTGGGGTAGGGACGGGGTCGGGAAGGTGGTAGTGCGGGGCTGAGGGCTCGCTGCTGTGGGGTGGCGTGGGGCAGGAGCCAGCCTGGGGCTCACCACTGCCACTCTCCCTCCAGGAAAGCGCACGAAGAAGGGGATGGCCACGGCCAAGCAGCGGCTCGGCAAGATCCTGAAGATCCACCGGAATGGGAAGCTGCTCCTTTAGCTCCGCCTGACTTGGAGCACAGCGATAACAACCCTCTTAACTTTCGGCGGTCGGAGTGTACAGAATCCTGCTATAAATATTTTTTAATATAGATGTCCTTTCTCAGAGTGCTGAGAGTGACTAGTCCGCAAAAAGTTAATCCTCGCCTGGCCCCACGGCGCTGAGCGCGCCGGGAGGTGAGAGAGCACCCGGCCCACGGGGGTGAGGACAGCGAGGGGTTGGGGACGGAGTGTGGTGGGGGAGTGGGGGCAGTGGGCGCGTTCCCCCCCGGCCGTGCCATGTCGATGCGTTTCCCGAGGCATCCTTTTCCTAGAATGTAGCTTGTACATAGCTTTTGGAATAATGACCACCTGTTTTTTATAAGGGGAAAGTCTCTCCGGGCGCTGTCCGTAGCAGCGGCCCTTACCAGCTCTTTGCGTAACTTCTTGTACGAGGAGGGAGACAGTTATTTTACTAGCACCTTGTGGAGTGTTTCCGTGTTTTGTGACGATGTAATTTATTAATGTTTGTAGCTTTTTATATTTGTACATTTCTTATGGGCTTTGTTTATATACACACATTACTGGGGCGCGGCGCCCGCGGGGAACCAGAGCCACCCGCAGCCCACGGCCATCGGGGCCATGCTGGCCTGGGCGTCACGCCAGCTTTTTTTATTATGATTATTATTATTAGTATTATTATTTTTTCGCGACATGTACATTTCTAACAAAGTTTATCGTGGCTATCTATCTATGACGGTGTTTTATTTACCAATTCATATCAAATGCTCTTGTATCGAGTTCACGAAATCTAAGTAAACCTAGAGCAAAGTTTAAAGAAGAAGAAAAAAAAAAAAAAGAAGAAGAAAAAAAAAAAAAAAAGAGAAAGCAAAGTAAACTATTTCAGGTTTTGTATACAACTGCCTGGGCCTGGCCTTTTTGTGGGGTCGGCGAGGGGCAGTGTGGGCTTGGTGGAGGGGGTGCAGGGCAGGGCGAGAGGCTCAGAGTCTGCCCTGTTCTGCTGCTCTCTCAGCGCAAGCAGGCACTGGGGAGCTGTGCTGAGCCTTTGCAAGCGTCCCTCAGCACTAAGCCAGCACCTGGTCTGCTTGCAGCAGGCCCTTCCATCACCTCCAGATGTGGTCTTGGCTCCTACCCAGCACTGAAGGGCAGTTACTTGGTTTATGGTTATGACACACCCTGTGTTCCACCTGGACACGTCTGCCCTCTACCCACATCATTTGCAATCCTCAGGCAAAGATACACACTCAGTACTCCCTGCTTCCTGCTCCCCTCTTGGAGGCCACCAGATGCTGCAGCTTTGCCCCTTTCACCCACTGCAAGGTCAGATAACTCGCACGCTTTGAGCCATTCATCCAGACTGACCTTCCAGTCAGTGGTGCTCTTTCCCATGTACTCCTCCCTTATCACAAAAGACTGAATGTGATGCCATTGAAATGTGCAGCCATTGCTGCTTCTGCAGTTCTCTTTCTTAACACAACGTTGTTTGCATCCCCCAACCCAGGCTGCTCCATCATTCTTGGCCCATACTACGAGAACAGTGAAAGGAACTGACTGTGACCTGCAAAGAACCATTCAATTGCCCATTATGGCAGCCCCAGAAGGCTCAAGGTTTGTGTTGCAAAGTCCCCTGCTTAGGCACTGTGGCTTCAACCCCATGACGTAGATGACAGTGAGACAATGGGATGATAACATGGCTCCTTTCACTGGCTGCATCTCTTCAAACAAACAGGTGTCACTTGATGAATTTTTGTTGTAATTCCTTAAGAAAAACAGCAGGCCAAGTGTGCTGTTTGCTGATGGCTTCTTTTTGGGGAGATTTTGCCCATGTCTGTCCCAAGGTTGTCAGAGACTATGTGCAACACTGATGCCAGCTAGATGCTGTCAGCGTTCAAACCAGGCAACCAGAGGTGACACGTGATGGATGGGTTAAAGGTAGTGGATTCCAGGGCACGGCTCTGTGCATTCAGCTAAATTGAGAGATCTGAAAGAAGGCTGAAAATTTACTTTCAGCCGAGGGTTAGAATGACTTTTGGACAAGGACATCATGGCAAGTATGTAAGGACCCAGGGAGTGTTGCTGCAGGGAGTAGGGCACCAGCACCTCACTGAAAGCAGCAAGAGAGGCAGCATTCTGAGTCTCTCGTTCTCTCTTTCAGCAGAGAAGGTCACACGTTGGCCATCAGCTCCTTACAAATTCACAGGCTAAAACAGTAATGCCTTGGATAGCCTGTTGAGTTTCTGGGACCTCCTTGCAGTACGTCCTCACAGCGACATTTTGGACAGGAGGTTAAGGCGGCTCACGGTAATAGCACACGTTCGCCAGCTGGGGGAGTTCACAGTTCAGAAACAACCACAGCCCGTAAGGACCTGGCGCAACAAAACGCCGAGCACCTCTGCAGGCTCGGGGACACGCTGCCTGCTTACCAGGTTTCTTGCAGCGCTTCTGGGGATGCCCTGTGTCTCGATGCACGTGTACCACTCCCAGCAGCCCCACGAGACCACCACAAGGCCTTGAGTCAGTCCACGCAGCTTCAGAAACGAGTGATATCTTAGCACAGCTGCCTATGAAAGGAACCTGACATGCTGCTGCAGAGTTGCACCCTGTGGGTAGTTTTGTACTGACAGGACTGTTTTGCTGGCCTGTTGGGTTGCTGGGGACTTCTTGCTGTTCTCCTCTGGGCCAGTTGTGGCTTTTACAGTCTTGTCTCTAAGGCGACCATGTAACAGCTTGTTAAAAATCATCACTCCTATCTTCTCTTGCTAGTCGATAATGCTGTGTGGCCACGCCAGATCTCTTCCCTTTGCCTATGCATTTACACCCCAAATAGTCCGTTTCATCCAGCCACATGCTTATGCATCAGCTGTCGGGGTGGGGTGTGCAGCTCTGCCTTGGCCCTCACTGCGAACACTGTGATAGCAGCATCTCTGGCTCTGCAGGTGGGCTGCCCCCCCTGTGCAGGTGACACCATTCCCAAGCAACTCCTTCATCTCTTTGGGGCAAACTCCAGAGGGCTCTGCATTTAACCAATTCTCCTACACAATTATAATACATAAAAGTAGAGCACGTACTAGACAATGGGGTCAGGTCTGCTTCACCATCTGACTGACTTGGTGCTTCCCATCCACATAGCAGCCTCATCCTCACAACAGAGGTAAAGCCTGTTCAGCTGCAGGCTGCATGCAGTAACTTCATGGGCCCCAGACCATCCCATCTCCCTTTGCCTTGTTCAGTGCCGAGCAAATGCTGCCCCAAACCAAAACTGCAAGTGATCCTATTCATCCTATCGTCCAGCTCTACACACAGCAAGAACACACCTGGATCTCCTCACAGCCATCTGAGGCCATAGAGTGCTCCTGTGCATCCACATTTATTCTGACAAGGTTGTCTGAGGACATCTAGCAGCTCCGATAGCAGCACTGTGCTTAGTGGATGCTGTGTTTGACACTTCAGCAGTCAGGTGAAATATTCGTAGCTCACTTTGCCAACATGGAGCTCACTTTGCCAACAGGAGAGATTGCTGCAGTAGATTTTACATCTAACCGTGTCTAGAAACTGAACGTCTGTTGATTCAATGTTCAGTGTGCAAAGGATGGCAGTACCGGGGAGGCAATTTCTGTACACAAAGGCACAGAGAAGCTGCTGGATGCTCCAGCTGAATGACTCCTAATAGCATTCAGATTTCTGCACTTTCTGGCTTGAAACTGACAGGAATCATTTACAAACTGGCAGCGGGCAGAGGCCCACATCAGGCTGGCTGATTTATGTCCATCTTTCATCTCCAGCCCCGGCAGCTCTGAGCACACCACAGTGAGTGTGCTTGTTACTTCAACAGTGGCACGCTGCCATCCTGCAAGACAAAAGCTGTTCTTTCCATTAACATCTGACATGGATTTGTAGTACCCACCCTACAGAATTCACAGCATTTGTGTAAACAATTTTGAAGTTGTTCTCTGTATATCATGAGAGAAAGTCTGCTTCTCCTCTTCTCTTAAAAGTGTAATAATTATAATTAATTAAGATCTCCCTGTTTGCAGTCTGCCACAAGATGCACTTAGAGGCTGATTTTTAGGTCACTGTTCTGTCAAACTTCACATACTTCTTTCCCCCAGCTAACTGTATTTACCAAACATTTGGCTCCATGGCCACTGCTCCAAACCTGGAGCTGCCAGCCCAAGCTTGCCTTCCTTTGGCTCTCCCTTTGCTTGCAGACCATATGCAAAGGAAATCTGCCCCTGAAAAGTGAGCCTTGCAGTCTTGCTTTCACGTTCAACTTCATCAAATTAATAATTAGCACTCACTTAAGTGACAAGGAGATACGTCTTAAAAAGGCCTTGTGTTTACACTACTCTTTCATTTACTCTTTCAAAAGCTTTCTTTGGCAGCCAGAGGAAAGCATGATGCACCCTTCCTTCCAGAGGTCACTGGGCCATCTTGGTTCAGCTCCATACACTGGGCTGCAGCACAAGCTGTGCAGCTCATATCCCAGCATTTGTCATCACACCTTGCCACTAGCTGAGGGAGGGCCAGAGCCCTGCTAGGGCCACAGCTCTGCTCACAGCCTCACAAAGCCCCTTGTCCCTTAAGGCCAGTGAACTGGGCCCATAATACTGCATGACTCCTCACACAGGGAAGCTCTACAGGTGCACTGACAACAATATTTAATCTGTTTCTCCTGGAACACCACAGCACCCCTTCTAACCCAGGTGTGCCACCAGCCATAACATGCTGGGATAACACCATTCAGTGATGCACAAGCAGAATGCTTGAGAGGTCCTTAACACAACAATGAAAGAGACAGTACATCAATGTCATGGGAGCCATTAGATAGATTAAGGGCCTCTCTCTCCGTGCACAGCCAGGGAGGGCTTTCTTCAAATGGTGTCTGATACGCCCGTAGGTAAACCTCTCAAAACATAGTGGCATCATTTTTCTTACTGTACCTCCAGTTTGCAAGGCTAGATCTGTAATCACTTTGCTCAGGATACAAGCTGTACCCTGAGGAATAACAGCTGGATTAAAAGACTGCTGCCTCACACTAGCCCTTGGTGAAGGGAACAGAAAGCCACTGGATGGAGCAGCTCAGCTTTTACATACAGCTGGAGCCCTGCAGTAAGTTCTCTTCCCTGGTCCCTGGGACAGAGCACCTGAAAGGTGAAGCCCATGACAAGTGGCTCAGTTTCACCTTTTAGCTAGCTGTGTGGCTACAGCCTTGCTGGTCATGACTGATGTCATTCTGTTACTGCAGCTCCCAATTTACCACATCTGTAAGGGTACACAGCCCTACTCCCATGGCTCATACAGCTAAACACCATGGAGCCTGGATGACCTGTTGCCTGCCCTGGTTGGACTCCCTGCACTTGCTGGTGGCAGCAGTTCTCCTCCAGTGACCATTCTTTCACCTTCCTTGCTAAACTCAGCAATTCTAACCACACAGGCACTTTATTTTATTACTGTCATAAAATATTTTGGTGGGTCAGTGTGGAAAACAAATACCACCGCAGAATATGAAGTATCAGATGCCTCAGTCCATGGGAGGTAGAAAGGAAAAAGGGGTGAATGGTTCCTAGCAGCATTTATGCATGACTTTATTGGAACAGACCATGAAATAGGACATAGAACAAGTAATACAATGAAAAGTGCAGTAATACTGTATGGTTTTACGTGTCCCTCGCCCAAAGTTACAGGCTGTAGCAGCTCCTTTCAACATATTTTCTTAATTCAAGTTCAGCAGCCTTGTTTCTCTTCCTGAAAATGTGCAAACCTTTAACATATCTCAAGGGATAACTCAAAACTCTCCCAGAGAACGAAATATTAATTAGAGAAAAGAATCTCACTGTAGCTCAGCACTGTGTGGCCTCTAGGAAGCAGAGGAGCCCAGACCTAAAGTGCCTCCTTTGTGTGGGGCTTTTGTTCCCCACATTCCACCCACTCCACACTGTCACAGCTGATAATACCTCAAAGTCCACTGAAAGAAAACTGTCATGGCTAAGTGTACCTTGGCTGCTTATAGAGAATATAAGCTATTAACGAGCTTGTTATTTTGAGCAGGATTTACACAAATTGTTCCCCATCCAGCATTTGGCATAAGCAGTGATGACAACTTTTCAACAGATGCTAGCATGGAGAGAACAAAGATGCTGTGGCTTCAGACCATCTGCAGGGATTAAGCCTTCATCAAGTGAGGTGACTTTTTTCTGCTCTTGAGACAAAAGAAACTTTTCTTTCCCTCTACCTAAACACTTCAGTTTCTCCAAGACACCATTTCATTGCCAGACTCGTTCACCATGGCTCACCTATCAGAGAGTTATCTGAGAACCACTGATTTTTTCCCCCCCTCAAACATCCAGGCAGATCTGGATGCTCAGTAATTCTTCAGCTGATCAGTGGTTGCAACTTCCTACTTGATCCTGTTTCAGGAAGGTTCTGGCTGCTCCTTAGGCCACCAGCACTGGAAGAAATCTGAACTAACCACAAATTTCCCAAGAAAGTGACCCCACTCAGCAATTCGTTATGTGTGATTCTAGGCACCACTGCTTTTCTTAAGCTTCCAAGCTATGTCTAGAGTAAAATGAAAAGATAAATCACCCAGAACATTGTGATTCTTCATCATCCGTACAGTGTCACAAATACTATCTGAACAATTAACATCAGTTAAAAAACTCTGATGCTTGTTTTCTGTATGCTTTGACTGGATACAGCAGTATATGAGGAATAAGCAACATCAGAGGGTCCCATTTTGGGATAGCAAGAACCACGCGGCTGGCAGCTTCCTTGATCCAAAGCCCACTAAGGTACGTGGTGATTTACCTTTTTATTTGATGTAGGGCATAGCTTAGAAGCTTAAGAAAAGCTGTAACACTTAATGATAGAAAAGTAATTAATATCAGTTCCAGGCCTTACTGCAGGTCCCACACCTCTCTCAAGACCTGTCCCATGAACTGCAATGACTGTCACTCAGGTGGTTACCCTTCTGCTGTGAGAGAGACACAAAGCACATCGATAAATCTCACTTGTGATGGGGTAATGCGTGTTTTAAGAATCACATATCCACAAAAAAAAAATCCACATAAACCTTTCCTACCATTTCTCTTATGAAGCACCCATACCTTGGTAATGTCAAAACAGACTTATAAGTGGGAGGCACGTGCAACCTTTGCCATTGCCACAGGAACATCATTTCACACACAGCAGGAAATTTGCAAGTAAAATAAAAGAGCTAAGATAGACTGGGAGAGGTGAAAGGAAGAATACTCACAGACTCTTCATTTGCAGGCTAGGACCACAAGGTGAGAGGCTGTTCGTATGGAGTAAGACAGGCCATAGTGAGAAAGGGCATAGATTTTCAGGTCAGAGGTTAGTTATCCTGCTACACCTGTGGAAATAAATGTGGATGTAAAGAGCGGACTCTGTTTCCACAGGTTCTGCATTTGCTGTCAAAAAAAATCACTTACTGTTTGCCTAGTGCTATTGACATTGGAGGTCTGCACAGTGCTTGCTGCTCAACTTTCCTCCAGTCCCTCTGCAAGCCATTAAGGAACATTAATATGACTGTTGACTCACAATGCAGGTAACCCCCTCTCCCAGTTCTTTGGCTGGTCTAATTAACTGGTACCTCACCAAACTAGATAGCAAAACAGCCGTTCCTAATCTATTCCTGACCTTCCTCCTCTATCTTTCTCATTCAACAACACCAATTCAACCATCATCCAACAGAAGCTTCATGAAATACTTTTTCCTGAGTTCTAACAATTTTAGCTTATTAAATGAGGAGCAGGGGAAGAAATAAACCCATAAACCCAATACAGCCAGGTGTAGCAATTGGGCAGATCAACACAATGGGAAAGGCATTTCAACAGAGATGTGATGATGGAAGGACCAGCACAACAGAAAGGTGCTATGAAGGAAGGGAAGAAGACTGCTCACCCATATTGGAAGACTCCAGGTTCACAGAGGAAAGCTTCACCAAGGAGGGATCTCCAGGAAGAGATCCTTTCCCCCTGCCAATCAGCCCTTACATGGGGTCTAAGAGAGGTGCAGCCAGGCTCCACCCTTCCCTACCACACAGCTGAATTGCCTTCACCTGTGCTCCCAGGGCTGACCGGGTCCTTTCCCAGGTGCTCAATCAGGATTTGGACCGTGACTCAACAGTTCCCATACACCAGGGAATTTCTTTTTTATTCATGCTTGCCTTGCAGTAGACAAAAAATGTTACGAACCACTAATGGGACAATGTTAGCATGCCTCTTTCTGTCTCTTTAAATGGATATTCTTGGACTTTGGAGGACTGACTATAAGCCAAAGAGCATCTGCTCCCATTTTTGTCTCTAAAGTGCAGTCATGGTGGATGCACCTCAATAGCGTGCTCTCCTTTGCAGCAACACTGCCTGGAAGGAGAGGGGAGACGGGGTTTAAAAGAGAAGAAGCCCTCAGGTGAGCTCATCATAATCATTTCTTGGAGCTCTTTGCTTAGCTCTGTTTGGCCTTTGACAAGTAGCGACCATGTATACCTCATTCGCCGTGACCTGACACACACCCACCAGGACACGGAAATGCCCAGTGGGCCTGATGTCACACAGAGCCCTTCCAGATGTGTCCCGAGTGTCCTGTGCCTGCAAGGAGGAGCACAACAGACACTGCGTGCACAAGGAAGGGGCTGCATGAGAAGCAGAGATATCTGAGCACGTCTTTTGGATATCTTCTAGCTCACAGCTTGCTCACAATGATACATACATCAAAGACTGAAAATTGAGGCTGTCTGACCCCAGTCTCCCAGACCTCTAAAAATGGTTGTGTCTTCTTGTATCATTCTTGTATCACCGGTCAACAGTGATCCTGAATTTCTTTTTTTTTTTCCTAATAATATATTTTATTTACCAGCAGTGAGTATTATGCCTCATAATACATTGTCCTACATAACCCAATCTCCTTTTAAAATGGAATAACAGAGTTTGAAAGAAAACATGACTTAGAAGATTAAGAGGTAGGATCAGAAGTAAGCCACCTGTCAGACAGGATAAGAACACATGATTTTTTTCCTTTGGATTTAAGCAGTCATTTAAATGTAATAGTCATATGTTTTAGTGTTAGTTATAAGGTCTAATTTTAAAGAATTTGTGCAAAATAAATGAGCGTCTCCCATTTACAGCCATATTTTCAGCTATTATCTCCTTCACTGCTCTAGCCAATAACAAGGAACCAGCCTCTATTATACTTATTCCTTGTCAGCAGCAATTTATTTATATGCAGACATCCAGGGAAATGTCTTTCTCAGACCTATGCTGGCCCTGAACAGTCATCAAGCACTGAGCCAGGTGAAGCCCTCCAGATGCACATGTCTGTCTCAGGAATCCCCATTAATCGCAGTACGTGTGCGGGTACAGACTTGCACAGGCCTGATGAACAGACTGTTATTCCAAGAGATCAGCAGACGGGTGTATTCCTTATATATGTGTGTGTGTGTATGTATACATACATATATGTATGCTTTTAGAGGTACAAAAAACAAACTAACCCTAGACATAATAATGACTAAAGCCATACTTCACATTATTATTCGTTGTTATTGCCATTAAATGGCTCTTACTCATAACACAGCCCTACAGTACTTTGGATCTTAATCGCCTTTTGTGGTATAAAATGGTCCAAACAGCTGCTAAACGGAACAAAAGTGTAATCCATCAGTATCGATTAGAACAAACATAAACATCCCATTTCCTTGCAGACAAACGTGGCACAGCCTGAGCAGCATGCTCCAGCCGTCAGAAGGTCCCTGAGCTCTAACAGCAAGGACAAGCGGGGTGCCTGCCTGCTCCAGGCACGTGGCACAGCTGAAGGGAGTTCTGGGGAGTGGGGATGTGGCAGGCTGGGAGAGGCTGGGGGCCCACAGCTTCACCAGTGTCCCTGTCTCTGTGCTTTCTGGGGCTGGAGGCTGGCAGAGGGCAGTCTGTGAGCTGCACTGAGCCAAGCTTGCAGGGCTGGCAGTTTCTCGTTCTGCTGGGCACATCCCAGCTCCCCACCAGCTGTGGCACGGGTGCAGGTGGCTGGGAAATGCCCATGGCTGGAGGCAGAGGCTGACTGAGAAAGTCTGGCTTTGTGAACCAGAAATGCTTTGTCTGATTGAATTTGAAACTTATAAACCTGAAACCAATCAGAAAAATGTTTCTTCCTTTGAAATGCACAGCTATTTAGAACAAGTACACATTGCTGTTCAGCTCAGGTTCCAAGGAAAGCAGGCTCGCTTTCCCACCTGGCAGGTTGGGCTGGGATAGATGGGATCCTACTCACCAGTCCTACGTATGCTGCAGCTTCACGCTGAATAACCTACAGAAGGCTGGAGAGTCAAGCACTTAGTGGGCAATTTGTGCTGACTAAATGTACATAGAAGTGCATGGCATGATGCTGTTTGTGTAACCATGGCAAGGACAGAGTCCCCAAGTGCAACACTAGGGAGGAAAAGACCAACCACTCATCATAGTCAAGACAGCAAGACAATGTCTGATGGGGAAAAAAAAGAGGGAAGGGAGGAAAGAAAAAGTGATGGATCGAAAAAGGGCATCATAACTTCACCAATGGATAACTGTTACTGCTGTCAGCCACCGCTTTTCCATCTTCCTCAAGTGCATAGCTATGGATGGAATGAATGGCATGTGCTTTCTCCAGACCTTGTGGTTGCTGAAGTGATCACAGAAATGAGCACGGGTTCATCCTGATGGACACCTGGCACACTGGGACTCCCTGCCATGACTTGTGCTTTGCCACCAATTCCAGCTGAGGCGTAAGAAGTTTATGCATCTGATCTGTCTCCGGTAGAAGTAGGAAGTGCACACTGGGTCTCAGTGTACAGCCAGCTGTGCTTCAGGCAAGTGCTGGAGGCACTGGCGTTGGCAGACAGCTATGCCATGCTGAAGAAATCCCCCGATGTACACCAATGGTAATATTACACTTTTGAGTCTGGGACTCTATGCGAGTTCCTCTTATCCAAACTTTCAGGGTCTAAATGTTCCTCTGCAACAGACAATTATCAACAACATGGCTTTGTTAAAAGCTAGAAGATTTTTAGCATATCACAAGTGCATGCAAAAAGGCCACGTGCTTTTAGCTACCATCACTCCAGACTCTGAGTCTCATTAAAATGCGATCTGCTGTGTGAATGTGTAATTGGAAAAACATGGCCAAATATGTCTGTGTACACAGGCACACAAGAAAAGCACTTTTCATTAAACAGCACTAAACATGGAAACATATGCCAGAAGATTTAAATCACAGAAGTTTCCTCTGATTTACTGCAGGGATGACCTGGCCCTGGTGTACAGAATGGTGCCCTATGGGGCTGCTCGCCTGCAGCACCTGCACCTCCAAGCAAAGAGATGCAGTCAGAGAGGAGAGGTGGGCTGCAGGCTGGGAGAGACAGTGGGGCCCTTTGCATCTTCACTGTCCGGGTATTAGGAGGTCACTGTGCTGACAATGGCAACAGAGCCAGAGGCTGAGTGGTTCACCTCCCACAGTCAGTGACCAGGGTGAAGGGGGTAAGTAATGCCTCAGGCTTGGGTAAGGGGAGCACAACACCCAGAATGTGTCTCTGTTTCCTCTCCACAGTTGTTCCTTTGCTACTAGGCCTTTATCAAGTGTTTGTGTTCACATAGCAGAGCCCTTTGCTGGTGCGTCAGAACATGAGCCGCACATTCCCCACCCTCCATTTAAAAAGCATGGGAGCAGCAGCTCTGGCAGCAGAACTCACCATGGCAAAGCATCAGCCAGCCATCACTGATGGGAAGACTAATGGATAGGACAGACCGACAGCCTTCCTGAGGTCAGCAGGGATGTGCAAACACTGCATGGAGCGCTGGCAGGCCAGGTGCTGCACAGAGAGTCGCTTCCAAACCCTGGCTTGTGCACGTACCACTCCGATCCTGGCAATCAGCTCAGCCCCACGTAAGTGATTAAATTATGTCTAATCCCATCTGTTTGCCCTCAGTGCGGTGCACGTCTTCCCCCTGCCCTGGGCCTGCCAAGCTGAATGTATTTCTGAAGCAGAGGTGCCATGCCACAGCTCAGTGCAACACATCCTGTTTATAGAACAAGAGAATTAGCCAATCTGCGTGTTTACACATGAGGTTAGCTGGCCTGCTGCTGTAATGAGAGTGCAAAGAGCATGGTTTCAGTTTGTAATGTATTTAACGTGTTTGTTTTGAGCCTAAATTACCAGACTTTTCTGCAAGGAAAAAAGAGAATTGTTTTTAGGAGGCCTCTGTAACACGAACCCCAAAATGAAGTGTGTCCTTTAAACATATCATGTAACTGGCCAAGGTGCACGTGTGGCACTGGAAAGACAATTTGTAGTTTATGTGACAAAGGAGCTTTGAATTCGAAGCTGTTTGCTCATGAGCTCTGCATGCCTTGCAGGTGTATGGCAGGAGCCAGCCATGCGCTCACCCCTTGCTGCAGGCTTGGGTTCCATGCACATCGCACAGCACATCCAAGGGACACATGCAGAGCAAGCTGCGGTGGTGTGGAGAGACCCCAGTGTGCTGGAGGTTGTGTTTCACCTTGAAAAGAAGCACATGAAGAAATGGAAAAGAAAATTATCCTCTGAATGGTTTTAGGATCAGCCTCTGCCTTGCTATCACTCATTCCAAAAATAGACTCCTCCTAAATGTGTACAGTCGTCATTCTTTTTATTTTCTTTTATTCCTTTCCACCATTTGCACACTCGACAGTTGTTCACGAGTGGTTCTGTTGCCCTCAGCCAATGCTCCTATAGCAGACAGTGCAAGGGGAGAGCAGAGCCTTCCAGCCATTGCTCTTCAGGCTCAGCAGGAGTAGCAGCAGCTCAGCTGTATGTCCTGGGAGGGAAATGGCTCCAGAGCTGCTCAGGCCAACCTTGGGGACCTCAGCAAAATTATGAGTGCCCTATGGAGCCCAGTGGCACAATGGGAGCAACATGGGCAGTGCTGTGGAGAAAGAAGGGAACATACAGCCCATGCAGGGACAAAT